AGGAAGGAAAATGACCGGGTCATTACACATATGCTTATCACTAGTCGTAGGATAATTGACCATGTGGAAGGGACTGTCACGTATCCCTCAAAGGGCGATCATGCATTCAAAGAGTGGAGTTCAAAAAATGCATTAGTTAGACGTGTTTGTTGTAGTCAATGCAACCACAAATCAGCAAGGGGTCTCTATTTGTGAAAACAACTAAAGATCAATGGGATGCTATGAAAGAGACGTATTCCTCAGTTGATAATGTTGCAAAACTGTATGAACTTCAAAAAGAGATTTCAAGATTCAAGTAGGAAGACCAATCTCTTGTTGCATATTACCACATTGTACGTGGTAAATGGCAAGAGTTAGATCCCAAGACTATATACTTGTGTGTGCTGATGTTGAAGCATTTTGGGCTATAGTAGAAAGGAATCGAATTAATAAGTTATTGGGTGGTCTGCATCCGAAATATGAGTTTGCTACGGTACAAGTGTTAGGTAGATATCTAGCCCCTATGGTTTGCCATAGTTACATTTTTAGGGGAGGTCCGAGTAATTTTTCAAACCATAGGAGAGGTCCCTATAATTATGACAAACCATATAGGAGGTCTGTATAATTTACCCAAAATAATAAATAATATAATATATTGAATTGCTTACAAATTTAAATATTAAGTAATATTAGTAAGTCTTGCGAGTTAAAATTCACTAATGTCTCTAAAATTTCACTTTATCACATGATATGAGTTTTTTTATTTCATGTCAAGTGTATATAGTAATATACTTTTAAATTATTTTTTTTATAATATTTATTTGTTATTAAATTACTAAAATTTATGACCACCTAAGAACTCAAAAGATTAGTGAAATTCGTATAGTATGGCGCGAGTTGAGATACGATGGATTTTTCGACACTTACCTTGGCAAAGCTAAGATGTTAAGAATCCTAGATTTGTCGTGGGCTAACCTCTTGAGCTGCCCAATTCCCATCCCTAACTCTAATTATTCTCCTATTGATAAAGTAAAGATGCTCTTGTCGTGAAGGTATAAATTTTACTCATTATCATGTGAGTTCCACAACATAATTCACATAATCAAGGGGTTAGTTAGTGCATTTGTGACTGCACATAACAATGTCACAATTTTGAACCAATTTATTTTAAAAAACCAAATCTGCAAAGAATTATAAAATGGGATTAACTCTATCAAATTTAACGTAAATTAAACAAAGATAATTGAAACTAAATAGAAATTTAGGTAGGCATCAGTTTAGGTAAGTTAGAAAACCTCAAATTATGGGCATACTCAGTGGTCTAGTTGGTGGAGCGTCTAACTTCCCTAACGGGTGTGCCTATGTTCGAGTCCCCCATTTCTCTTGTTTGTTAGGATAAAATAAAAAAATAAAACCTCAAAATATGATTTAAAAAAATGAATTTTGTGAAAAAAAAAAGCTTTTATTTTTTAAATAAATGAAGGGCAATTTCTTTAGTGACTCCTTAAAGATCTACATTCGCAAGAGAGTTTAGATTAGTGGTTTGATATGGCTAAGAAAAGGCCTTAAGGACTCCTAAACACGAACAAAAATTTGCTCCAGTTGGATAGAGTCCAGTGAGGATCCAAGGGTTGACATGAAACCACCTTAACCCTTTTTGCCACATCACCACCTAATGAGCTTCAACTCAGCGCCCAGTCAGCAACTTAGTCAACAAAGTTACTGATGTACTTTTCTTTTATTTTTTTATTTATTTATTTTTTTTTACCACATGTACTAATACAACAGCCAAATCTATAGCAGGATCTCCAACTATACAACATACACTTATACATTATATATATACAAAAATATATCGGTGTTCAGTATCCAAATATACGTATAACAATATATTAAATACAAAAATATTTTATTCCATTCCTTTTTAGTAAAATTACAAATCCACATACAACATACACTTATACATTATATATATCAAATATATATACAAATATTATATACAAAAATATATCAGTACAAAATATACGTATAACAATATGTTGTTTACAAAAATATTTTATTCCATTCCTTTTCAGTAAAATTACAAATCCCCATACAACATACACTTATACATTATATATAAACAAATCTTATATACAAAAATATATCGGTATAGTTCAGTATCCAAATATAGGTATAACAATATATTATATACAAAATATTTTATTACATTCATTTTTAGTAAAATTAAAAATCTTAAACATTGATTATGTATCGGTACAGTTCAGTATCCAAATAAAAATTTATTTGAGATTTTAGGGTTTTGAAAAAATTGACTAATTATATAGATTTTAGGGTCTGGAATTGTGAAATTGAGTTGTGAAAGTTAATTTTTTTAACGTGTTAGGAAAATATGTTTATTCTATATGCAATTCATACCTGATACATGTTTAAAAAAGTTGTGATAATAAAAATTTGATCTCTCCAACTTTTATATTGTATGTTGTTACAAAAAGTAGGTGATGGAATATGCAAATCTTCCTACATATATGTTGAAAGTATTTGTGATTCTTATTATTAATTTAGGAATTGTGAAATTGAGTTGTGGAAGTTAATTTTTTTTTTTTTTAATGTGTTAGGAAATATATTGATACTATATGCAATTCATACATAATACATGTTTAAAAAAGTTGTGATAATAATAATCAATGCGGAAGCTAATTTTTTTTAACGTGTTAGGAAAATATGTTGATGCTATATGCACTTCATACATGATACATGTTTTAAAAAGTTGTGATAATAATAATTTGATCTCTATTATATGTTGTTACAAAAAGTAGGTGATTAATTATGCAAATCTTCCTACATATATATTGAAAGTATTTGTGATTATGATTATTAATTTAGGAATTGTGAAATTGGGTTGTGCAAGTTCATTTTTTTAAAGTTGTAGGAAAATATGTTGATGCAATATACAATTCATACATGATACATGTTTAAATAGGTTGTAAGCATAATAAATTGATATGTATGCTGTTACAAAAAGTAGGTGATGAACCCAGCCTTCAAATTTTTTGATTACCAATAATCACCACTGGATTATCACCATATAAGTTAAACTTTGATATATCATTACGAATAAAGTTACAAGAAATTCAAAATAACAACCTAATACTTATAATGATCGGAGCTTCAACTTCTCGCCGGATTGTCGAATATATTTTGGGGGGAATCTCAACTTCTCGGAAATTTTAGTTTATTGCCGGAATGTATGGTGATTTTTCCGACTAGATATCTTTTTGACCTTACCAAGAGAGTTTTTTACACATAAACATAAATAACAAAGTTTTAGGGAGAGTCTCTCGGCCGGATTTCAAATTTCAAAGAGGGATTTTCTATTTGATATTTCAGACTTAATATATATAGCAGAGTTTTGGGTGAAGGTTAACTTTCCTTTTGGGGTGAAATTGAAAATTGAAACTCAAATACGATTTTGGAAAGATGCAATAATATAGTGTATAAAGAAGATGTATAAATTACGCCGGACTGGATGATCGGAGCTTCTACTTCTCGCTGGATTGGAAATTTTTTGGGGAATCTCTCTTTCTCGGAGATTTTAGCTTCTCGCCGGACTGTATGGTGATTTTTCCGAACGGATCTTCTTTGAACAGGGACCTTCTTTGAACAGGGAGATCATTTTGCTTCCAGAAAACGTCCTCAGTTCAGCTTCAACTCTTCGCCAGATACACTGAACTGCTATGCTTCTTCTTCAAAACCTTTATCTTTATGTGTATTCTCTTGGTTGCCTTGTCTTTCTCAATTTCACTTGATCTTAGATGAGGTTCAGTTTGGATGTTTGAAATTTCAGAGAGGGCTATTTCAGAATTAGTATATATATACCACACTTTTGGGGGCAAGCTCAATTTTCGTTTTGGGGGGAATTTGAAAATTGAATGTCAAATACAATTTGCAATTATATAGAGTATAAGCAAGTGTGTATAAATTACGTGTATAAGTATAAGACCAAGTCAAATAAATACAGATTTAACCAATTTGCCACCTCAGCCCATTTACCCCTCACTGGACAGTTTTCAGTGAGAGGTGTAAAGGAGAGGATTCTTTTCCCCTATACACATGCATGAAAATCCATGGTTAGAGCATCTTTTAATGAAATTCCCAATTAGTCTTGAAAAATGATATTTAGGCCTACTTGTTAATCCAATTTTTCAAAGTGGCACAATTAAGGTCAATGATGGCCTAAAGTGGATTTTAAAATGGGTCCCACTTGAAGACCATCAATGGGTTTCACTTTAACAAATAAACCAAACTAATTGGCTTGAATATCATGATTCATTAATCTTTATCACTTAGAATTTCTTAAAATGGCATTTAATTTGAAAAAATGATTCATATGCAAACTTTCCAGTGAAAACATATGTGGTGCTTGAAAGCACCTAATGAATTTTTACCATATTGATATTGGAATTAAGCAATTCACAATTTTAAACCCTTTAACTATGGTAAAATACATTTTGGAAAATGTTTTGGACAACCACTAAGGACTATCGAATATTAGTCTTGGCAGGATGTACAAATTTTAAGTATACCTTTTTTTTTTTCTTTTTTTTTTTTTCCCTTTTAAATTAAAAATCTCAAGAGAAATGTTTTTTTCACTAAAAGTAAAAAAAAAAGAAATAATGAAATGACAATAGTAACAAAATGGGAAGTTTTTACTTATAAAATGGATTGAAAAGTGAGGTTTTTACTAAATGACATAAAAGAGATGGCAATGTAACTACAATGAATGTAGGACTTCTGTTGCCAACCTACCATAACGAACCCATAACGTTCAAGGGATTAGAGATTTCTGGAATTCAAAAAAAAAGAGAAAAAAGGCAAAACTTAAGTTATTTTCTGGAAATTTTCACCCAAACATCCAAGGGATCACAGATTTTCTCATATGTAAATTTGTAAGATTAAAACCCAAATCACAAACTCCCACGCTAAATCTATGAGAAAATTTGATATTTACACAAAAGGAAGAAATAAATTAACACTAAAAATTGCAAAAATTATCACAAACTAATACAAACACTATGTACAAATGATGCGAGTGCTGGTTTCATTCAGTGGCCTTAAAGACTTGGACTACGACACTGCAAAGCCTCTAATTTAAGCATTTTGAAACACAACAAAGAGAAGAAGAGAAAGGGAGGTGGGGCTGAAAATGGAGGCACAAAAAACATCTTCTTCTTTTCTTTTCTTTTTTTCTTCCTCAAAAAGCGATGCTTGTGAGACCAGCGAACGGCTAATCTCACAGTATCATGGAAACATTCCAGATCATGATAACATTTATCATCACAATTTTCACCATACTTGGAGCATAAGTCGAAAAATAGCATTATTCTCAAACTTTCTCAGTCCAATAATTCAGAAAGAAAATCCTTCATTCTAAAAAAATTTCTCATTTCCCCATCTGCAACGAATGTTACATCCACATTTGGAGAGGCTTTAGGACATGTCTGCACCTTTTTGATTATCTCTAGATCCGTGGATGAAGATAGTATCATCTTTGTTAGCACTCGCCCATTTTCTAGCAAAAACTCTATCAGCATTTGAATGTTTTTGTAACCAAGAGGATCGATACCCTGAGCATCACTAATCTCTACCACCTTTAGATGATACATCAAACATGTAAGTGCCTCATCTTGAGCTTCCCAATCACCACCATCCCATTCCCAATCGAACATCTAAAATTTCAAGCAAGAACATGAAGAGTGTGTTAGTTCACACAGATACAACATAATGAAAAAACACACCTGCAGGCAAAAGAAAATAAGAAGGCCAAGTATTTCATTTCATACTACTAGATCATTATTTAATCATCTCTTCAACCCGGAGTCATAGAAAACATCCCGAAACATTTAAATTTCAAAAGACCATTAGAGCATTAATACAAATATCCATCCAATTCTCTCATAACCCTTTAGATCGGCCAATGGCCATTCCATTGCCAAATCATTTTTAGTTTGGTATACAATTCTTTGCATGCAAGTACTTATCCTGGCTTTTACTAATAATTAGGCTTCCCAAGAATTCACCATTTGGAAGTGAGTCAAGAAATAGCAGGGATATACTTTAGATGATCCAAGACTTATTTAGTTGTTAAAATGAGAAGCATAAGATTCGGAATTTTTAGGACAAATTCTTCCAGATGTAAGGGTAAGAAAGTGTCATGTTGCGAAAATAAGAAGGATGTGCAGTCATCAAGAATAGCAAGAAATCACTAAAGGCTCCGTTTGGATAGATAGGAGAGAAAAGAAAGGAAATGATAACAATAAAATCTATTCATGTTCGGATAGATAGGAGAGAAAAGAAAGAAAATGATAGTATTCTGGTTTGGATAAGAGAGAGGAGAGAAAAGAAAAGAAAGGATAACAACCACATTACTATCATACCCATTTAATTAGATGGGACAAGAGTGGAATAATAATTTCCACATTCTAATTGTTAAGGACAGTTTCTGTATTATAAAAAACTACTTAACTCACTATCGTTTCCCTCCCAATCTTCTCATTTCTGGGAGGATAGGATATGAGGGATAAGGAGCTATCCCTCCCAATCCTTTCATTTCTCGTTTTTTTAAACCCAAACATGTGACTTCCTAAGAGTTGTCCTTACTTATAAAAGGAGGACTTAATGAATTGAAGGGATGGATGTTCTCCTAAAAACTGCCCCAGCAAAGCTGGGTTGAACACACTATCCTTTCCTCTCTTTTCCCTCACCATCCCTCCAAATTACTCAATCCAAACGGAGCCTAAGGAAACGTAGAGATAGTTTAAATTTTCTTTTTATCGTCCCCTCTCTTCAATATCTATTTCAGCTCGCAAAATAATTAAGATCAATAAGAATCTGGGTCCAACTGCAAATGAAGTTGGCGAGGGAAGTTGCAATGCAGAAGAAGACTGACCATTTAGTGTTAAAGAAGAAGAAGAAAGTTATACATGAACTAGGAATAATATTTCAGTATGATTTTAAGCCATGACTGTACTATTATGCATGTTTTAAGTTACATCAATATCTAAAAGAATGTACAAGTCAATATGGTTTTGAGCAGTGATATTGTATTACATATTGAAAAGAAAAGAAAAAATAAAAAAATAAATTGTTCCAACAGAGCATTTTATCAAGTTTGTACAAGAAAACAATATTTAAGATAAATGTAAGTAAGAATGTCACCTCCACAAAATCTATAGCAAGGGCCTCTAGATTAGGACAATACTTGAGTAGGTGGAATATGGTTTGCTGATGCCATTTAGTGGAACCCAACAGAAGTTTCAAGTCTTTCAGATAACAAAATAATTTGGGGAAGCATTCTGGTTTATTCTGCACGCAACAAAGACTCTGCTTGCAAAAGAAGAGGGAATTAGGAATCAATATAGCCATCAAATACGGAGTAATATTTTATGTACGAGGAAACTTAGACAAATATGATTGCATATCAAGTACATCCTAGCAATCAAAACGCCAAAAAATACTCATATATATCATTTTAAATCAAATCAGGTGGCAAATTACATCAATGAAAATTTAATCAATTAAATTGTTTTTTATTTTTGTTATAGGCTAATTTCAAATTTTGTTTGCTCGCTCCATATACAGTTTTTAGGCCAATAAATAAGAAAATGGAATGGAAAGACAAATAAATTCGCCAAGAAAAGAGTAAGAACTACAGCCAAAATGAGAAAGAATGAATAAATGAATGAGAAACCCTTTATGTAACTACAAGAACATAATTTCTCTACAATAAAAATAAATGCAAATTGTCAATCTAACCACATGAGAGTTATATACAAAACCTAACGAAGGATGAGAAATACATCTTTTAGTAATAACAAATAATTTACATACCATAAAATTAACAAAAAATTGAGCACCTGACCTTTAGAACAAATATTGGTAAGCCCATATTATTTGTTTATGGATATAGATAAGAAAAATCTATTGTCAACAAATTAAAAAAAATATATATATGAAACTTGTACAATTTCAAAGCGACTGCAAGAGCTTCTATCAAACTACATAGTGTCAATATACTACAAAGTTTTATTAAGACGCACAATACCCTCCGAATTAACCAGCAGCAGGAGAATTAACAACTTTTTACAATTTCATTTAAATTAGAAGCTACCAGCAAGTATCAGACATGCATTAGAGAATAAGCGAGAAGGAGAATTAACAACTTTTTACAATTTCACTAAAATTAGAAACGACCAGCAAGTATCAGACTTGTATTAGAGTATACGTGATCGGCAATATTCAGGGGATTGAATTAAATCCTCCAAATATTAATATACCTATATCACACTTGAAACATATTTGATTCCTTCAATATAATGAGGAGGTTGGTCATAAAGAAGATTAAGTGCTAAGCTGAAAAATGGATGTAGCACCTAGGGCTTCAAAGTCATGGATGTATGCCTGTATGGGCAAAATATTCTTAACCTGTGAATATTTTGCACATTAGTTTTTAAAGAAGGCTCTGAATCTGCTATTTCTCTTGAAACTACCAAATTGTGTTTTCTATTCAAATAAGTATTTTATTTTAAAAAACATACAAAATTACTGAGGGGGAAAAAATCCCCACCAATAAGGTCGAACCACCTGGATAAGGGAAAGGCGAGTAACCACTTCACACACAGACTAGTCCACACCAGCAGAAGGTGAGAAACATGGCCGGTCAAAATCAACTTGGGTCTAGTCAATGGAACAACCACCCAAGACTTCACAACAGAGCACGAATAGGGTTGACATTATTGGATTTATCCTCATAGCTGTCAAGCCAATCATAACCTCCTCAAGAGAATCAAGGAGAAGAAATGGAGAATCGATGTGAATTTCCTGTATAAACAGACAGAAGAACACCAGGAAGAGGCATGTGAAAATAGATAGTGAAAAAATACAGTTTAGTGATTTCTTGTGTTCGGAGGCTCAGCCTAAGTAATAATAAGGAATTTTATACCATTCTTGAGTGTATTCATTTGGTAAGAGTTTGCTTGTTCAATTTTTCTTTTTCTGCAAATTTTTTGCACCTACAATTTGGCGCCGTCTATGGAAAAGAACAAAATTATTCATCAAAGCCATGGTTCAGTCACGATCCAGCTTGGCTCTTGGTGAGGAAACTTTATGCCAGCGGGAAGAGATCATGCTGAAGAACCAACAGGAGATGCTACAACAACTCGAAACCCTTTGCCAGGAGAATGCATAATTCCAAGCAAGGGTAGAATGTGCGGAGAGTCAAAGAACTGGAAATCTTCCAAGAGGAGCAGGCAGAATCAAGCCACCCATCTGTTGAGGGATCCCATCAAAATCAAAACCAATTAAAGGTTCAGTAGAGCGTACAACCGGAGTGGAAAGCACAAGTGAAAAAGGAAGTGTACGCAAAGATCAAAGCCCTAAGAGCGCAGACGCCAGCCAATCTGGCCATGTAGGTGACTACCAGGCTAATCCAGTTGCCCTTTACATACGACAGCATTAGGACTCCGAAGCCCAAGAAGTTCGTGATGGCAAATTTCACAACCTTCAACAGGACCACAGATCCTGTTGAACACATTTATCATTTTCAGCAGCAGATGACACTGGATGCAGAGGACAAGAAGCTCATGTGCAAGATCTTCCCATCCAGCCTAATGGGACCAGCTTTGATATGGTTCAAACAACAACCACCCAAATCAATTCCCAAATTTGAGAAAGTTTGTGAATTGTTCATCGCATAATAAGTACGGAATAGAAGGCAGAGGAAGACCGTCTCATCTCTCTTTATGACGAGACAGGCAAAGTGGGAGACCCTACGGGAGTTTCTCACCAGATTCAACCTGGAGATGTCATGATCGATCGCTCCGATCAGACAGCAGCGGTGGAAGCCTTCAAAGTGGCCATGATGCAAGGGACGAAGTTCCACACTTCTCTTGTGAAGAAGACTCCAACGGACATGAGTGTGTTAAACGTCAAAGCTCAGGGTTACCTAAGGTTGGAAGAAGACAAAGCTGCGTGGCAACAAAGATCAACACTGATTAACATCGAACATCAAACAAAGGATCGGCTATCCAATCCCAAGGCTCAGAGAAGTGCCCCACCTCTAACCAACAAACCACTAGAGAAGAAGTCAAGGAATGAAGAAAAGGTGGCTCCACTAAAGGTAATTCTAGCATAACTCTACGAGGAGAACAAGAACAAGGGCATCTTCTGAACTCCTCCCCCTATCCATCAGCCTTTGGAGCAGAGGGACCGTACCAAACACTGAGCCTTCCACAGTGATTATGGTCATCAAACGAATGATTGTAGAAACCTGAGGAGACAGGTTGGGGCAATTATTGCCAAAGGAAAATCGAAAGAGCACCTGGGAGACAAAAATCTTCCAAAGTGAACTGATCATCCAGCACAGGCCCGAGCAACAACCCTCTGAACGCCCAACCCGTTCAGGTGATCAAATTTATTCATGGCCGATCAGATCCAGAGAAAGATGTCAAAGATGTGTGTAGATCGCGACTTTGACAGGCGCAGAAACTTCGAAGAGTGGGCGAGGTGAAACCATCTCAAACAAAAAGGCAGAAGTGCAAATCACATTCAGTGATGAAGACCTATGCAGAGTTTAGATGTCTCGTGATGATCCATTGGTGATCAGTTTGATGGTGGTGAACTATTTCGTCAAAAAGGTACTAGTGGATGTAAGCAGCAACACAAATTTAATGACTTATTGGACATTTGAACAATTGGGGGTGGGCTCAGACCACGTTTAGACAACAACAGAATGCCTGGTTGGGTTTGATGGGAAGCGTTACAACGATGTGTGTAGATTGCGACTTTGACAGGCGCAGAAACTTCAGAGAGTGGGCGGGGTGAATACCATCTCAAACTAAAAGGCAGAAGTGCAAATCACATTCAGTGATGAAGACCTATGAAGAGTTTAGATGCCTCATGATCCATTGGTGATCAGTTTGATAGTGGTGAACTATTTTGTCCAAAAAAGTACTAGTGGATGTAAGCAGCAACACAAATTTAATGACTTATTGGACATTCAAACAATTGGAGACAACAACGGAACCCCTGACAAGTGCAGAAACTTTGAAGAGTAGGTGAGGTGAATACCATCTCAAACAAAAAGGCAGAAGTGCAAATCAAATTCAGTGATGAAGACCTATGCAGAGTTTAGATGCCTCATGATGATCCATTGGTGATCAGTTTGATGGTGGTGAACTATTTCGTCAAAAAGGTACTAGTGGATGTAAGCAGCAACACAAATTTAATGACTTATTGGACATTCGAACAATTGGGGGTGGGCTCAGACCACGTTTAGACAACTACGGAACTGGTTGGGTTTGATGGGAAGCCTGTAACGCTGATTGGAACTGTTGAGTTACCAGTCACATGTAAGACATTGAGAGAAAGTTTTGTGATTGTCGATGTTCATTCATCGTACAATCTTACCATAGGCAGAGGATGGATTCACATAATGCAGGGAGTTCCTTCCACCCTTCATCAGTTGATAAGATGTGTAGCTCCAAATGAAAGGGAGATGATCGACAACCTAGGAGATCAGGTGGCCGCAAAAGAATGATATGCAATCGCGTTGAGAGGTAAGTCTAAAGAAAAGAAGCCAACTGACATATCAGATAACATGATGATTTATTGATGTGCCACCTCAAGTGACGATTTTCTAGGAGACGTGGCTGTTGGAATGCTTGATGAGTTATAGTTCAAATTACTCAATACAGTTAAAATTCCCTCCAAATTGTGCCGTTACACAAATTGGAGGGAATTGGGGCAATGTGTGGAGTGAAAAATCCCCACCAATAAGGATGAGCCACCTGTATAAAGGAAAGGCGAGTAACCAAGGAATAGTCCACATCAGCACAAGGTGAAACGTGGCTGGTCAAAAATCAACCTGAGTCTAGTAAACAGGACAACAACCCAAGATCTCACAATATCAGCAGAGAGCAAGAATAGGGTTGACATTACTAGATTTATCCTCATAGCTATCAAGCCTACCATAACCTCCTCAAGAGAACGAAGGAAAAGAAAGGGAGAATCAGTTGTGATCCCGTATAAATAGACAGAAGAACACCAGGAAGAGGCATGTGAAAATAGAGAGTGAAAATATACAATAAAGTGATTTATTGTATTCACAGGATCAGCCTAAGTAAAACAAGGAATTTGATACCATTCTTGAGTGTATTCATTTGGTGTGAGTTTGTTTGAATTTTCTTTGTCTCCAAATTTTTTGCACCTACAATTACTAAGATGAATTCAGGGTAGAGCATGAAGTTTTAAGTATCCTTTCCACAATTCTACGTATCCCCTGCATCATCAAAACATCTAGTAGTAACAGGGCCATTTAACAATAAAAATAATATAGGAAATAAAGTAAATTCTCGAATTAATATGACAGATGTAGCATAAAAAAAATAAAAATAGATGCCAGATAATTTTATAGAATGAAATTAGAAATGATGCGCACCACCAACAAGGGATCGGATAATTTCATAACTTCTGCATTGTGGAAGGCCCCAACAAACTTGCACCCTAAGTAACCAAGTTTTTCCAGCTCCTCACACGATATATAACCAAGTTTTTCCACCTCCTCCTCCTCCTCCTCATCATCATCATCATCCTCCTTCTCCACTTCCTCCTCCTCCTCCTCCTCCTCCTCCTCCTCCTCATCATCATCATCATCATCATCATCATCATCATCGTCGTCGTCATCATCATCATCATCGTCATCGTCATCGTCGTCGTCATCATCATCATCATCATCGTCGTCGTCATCATCCTCCTCCTCCTCCTCCTCCTCATCATCATCATCATCATCCTCTTCCTCAACACCATGATTTAATTGGATGTACACAATACTTACAGAAGACATTTCTTGCAAATTGTAATCACGTGCCATTGGACCCAAATACTCGAATGATACAAGATTAGGGGCAACAACCTTTAGTTTAGTATGCGTTAAACCCAGACCTTCCTCAAAACTGTCTATACTCAGATTCTTGAGTTTAGCAGAAGTAATATCAAGAACCTCAATCAAGCCATAATCACAACATTCTAGTTTCAGACTTTCAAGGAGAGGGCAACTTGATAAAAGTTGTGGTATCTCTTCATCATTGAAGAACTTCACCCTCACCTGCAGTGAAGTGAGCATTCTGAAGCACAACCCACTTGGGATTTCAATACGGGAACAGAACAATATCAACGTCAATGTCACCAATGAATTGGCATTTCCTAGGCAAAGCGGAAATCGGAACGTATCGTGTGGGCAGCAGATTAGCACGAGCTCTTGGATGTTGCGTCTCACCAGGATTTGTATCCATCTATCTAGCCAGTCACAGGTACGACATTTCAGACAGAACTTGAGTATATCACAGTCATCTCGGAGAATCAACACTGAGTTAACAAAGTTAACAAATTTTGTGACCACTGTGATATTCAAAAAGCTGAAAGGATTTTCATAGAAGTTCAAGTAAGGGTTTGAAGCCCACAAGTGCCTCCATCGTTTTGATAATACAGACGTCCTTACCACTTCAGAAGTTAGAAGAAATGAGAATATACAGTGAATTACACCGTCGGGCAATTCGCTAATCCTATCATCACCATTGATGGGATCCATCACCGAGAAACTTTTAGTAGACTGATTCTAGTTTCTTGGTTTTCCTATAACTACAGATGTGTTGGGTAAGACTAAGTTCAGTTCTTTCAAGACTTTTCTCAAACACCTTGCCTTCGATTGACCAAATTCAAACTCGTCTGTAAAAATTGGAGAAGACCCTGAACTTAAATGACGAATCAATGGAGGTCCACCACTAACATTTATACGATCGGTCTTCAACAGCCGCGAGCTGGTTTTGCGATTGTGAACCAAAGAACTCGGACTCAATTCGCAACTATTCTGTCTGATTCTGCTTTTTCTCAACTCTTCAATTCTCACCTATTCTTTGTGATATATATAAAAATTTCGTGTATGTATGTATATATGTATGTATAATTTTTTGTATGTGTATTGCTCGTATATGTGTCTCTGTGTATCTTTTTTACCCAAAGTACTGTTTGGCTCTTTTTACCACTGCTACAATGAAAATCGGAGGGAACAAATTCTCCTGTTCCACAAGAGACGATTTTGGTCCCGTTAAGTTCAGCACTTTGATTGTACTATTCTAATTTCTATATGCCTTTTAATAATAACAACAGAAAATCAGAAAATCAGCCTGTACTTATAGGCCTCCATATGTCACAACAGACGACCAGCTTAGTGGGGGTATTATTAGAAGAAGAGTAAACCAATATCTTTTCAATATGAAATGGCATATAAATGGATCAGCTAAAAAAATAAAAGCGCAAATTGAATAAAATTTTCTCAACTTACTATTTTTGGCACAAAAATTCTTTTAATTATTTTTTAAAAATAAAAAATAAAAAATTTGACGTCAAACTCTCATTCAATTATCGCATAGTGATACTACAATGAAGAAAATGCCCCTTAATAGATTTTCTTTAAAATGATTTTATGTTTTTTTTTTCCTTTTTAATTTTTAATTTAAAGAACTTTTCTAAAATTTGTTCTAAGGTATTTTCATTTTCTTATTGACGCTCCATTAAATTATTTTCTGAAAAATTACTTTTAACAATACTATGTTAAATGAGTTATTTATATTAATTTTTATTTTAAAGAATACAATTTTATTAACTTTATATTAAGGGACGTTTTCGTCATTGTAATATCACTTTGCAACGATTGGATAGTTGTGAAGAAATTTAGGTCAAAATTTATATTGTGCCAAAAATTGAAAGTAGATGGCAGTTTAATGCAATTTTCTCTTTATAAACACATTTTAGTTGATGAGAATACCCTTTTTATTTTGTTATCCTACTGCTATTCTGTTTTGAAATAAAATAAAATTTGAAAACTTTATATGTATACATATGAAAACTACATATAAAGTTTTCAAATTTAATTTTATTCTCATCAACTAAAATGTGTTTTACTCGTCAGCAGGGTTAAGTGTGACATGAAACAAACCGAGAGGGGGATAAATTTGTTATTTTATTTATAATTTGGCATTATTTCATATTTTGATTACAATGTAGTTGAGCTTTGGCATGGATGGAATATGTTTAAGTAAGATTCTGCACCGACCCCCGGCATTGTATTTGAAAGAGAGAAAAGAAGGGTAAATGAAGGGGCACCAGTGTGGTGCCGGCCTAATGGTCCTCGACGATCAAGTTAATAATACATCGAGAAGAGAAAAAGATTTTCTTATGGATTTGTGTCGTACCTCTCAGGTTGATCAAACTCACCTTTTACAAGGAAATTGTAGGTGCAAAAATTTAACACTGGGATACTTAAAAATAAATACGAAAATTGTAACAGAAGGACTATAACTAAATTGAAACAAACTCAACAAAAGAAATATAAGCAGGAAATATTGATGTCCCTTCCCTTCTCATTGATCTCTTATTTATATGTTTATACAGAGCCTTTCTTGGGGTTGTTATTAGCGATTTTGAATGTGGGCAATCATGGACCCTAATTTCCTGCGATTTCATCTTCATGACAGACATTATAGAATTGTTTGAATACACTTGGACGGGGCCACGTTCTTCTGTTTGGGCTGGCTTGAATGTTTGGTGCCTTCTTTGATAGGCTCTTGACTGCGTTGGGCTGGTCATTCGAATGATGAGCATTTCTTATCTTGCGGACATGTGGTGTACTATGATTGGTGGGAAAATTTCCCTCCACACTTTGCCTCCAATTCCCTTTATGAATCAAATTCATATAAGAAATTCTAACTGTTTTTGAAAGTGGAGTGGTTTCCTGCGGCCATTACTGCTCATCATTATCACTTGGGGTTCCGAACTTTGGGGTCTCGTGCTGTTGCCCCTTAGTTTCCTGCTTTGCAACTTTATATATCGAACTCTTGCTGTTCTTTGCTATTTGCACTTGCAAAAATACCTTGGTTCTGAGACCAAAATCCGCCCGTCATTGTTCCGGACTTTTCCTCGTTGTCAAGGTCAATCACTCTCTTACTATCTTGTTATCTTATTTTATTCTCTCATTATGAGTGGTGGTTATCACGGGCACCAATGTTTAAAGATGCACTAAGAGTGTGAGTGTGCAATGTAGCCAAGTTTTAAATTTATAAAAGCTACTACTACCTCTAACTAAAAATATAGCTAGGGTGATTAGGGATCGTCCCAAGGGATTGTGGGCATGCTTGCAACGGAAACAATGTATAGGGTTAGTAGGTCAAATGATTAAAAGATGGTTTGTTTGGTTAATTAAACTACAATGCAATTGAAATTAAAGCAAGTAAAAGGTAACAATTTAGAACGTAAGGAAAAAGATATAGAGGAGAGGACTTGGGGTACTAGAACTCACCACTAAGCTTGACTTCACTAGACACTAGCAATTGTATAACAATGGAAAAAATTGAATTGTAACTTATGTGTGTGTGTGACATTAATTGAAACTAGGCATGGATGGCAAATAAGTATAGATTGTCTAGCCAATTCAAATGGAAAGCGCAACCTATCAAATGAGACCAAAATCCATTCAATGAAATCATAATTTATGCACACACAACTATCTAAAAACATACACCCTTTGCATTCATAAGTATGGAACACTAAGGAACAAGAAAATATTGCCCACCTATCTATGAATCTAAAGCAACTACACTACATCTACACTAAAGACATGAAAATTAAACTAAGTAAGCTAAAGGTGTGGCACAATCCATCAAGAAACAAATGTGAACCATCAAATAAATTACAAGAGTGTTCAATTAAGCATTATGTTTTGACCATCTCTATATAAACTTCATCCATACATATAGACATGTATAAACTCCACTAAATCTAGAGAAAAACACATGAATCATCCATTCTAGCATACATAAACATATGGTTAGAGATAGAGAATCAATTGAAAGCATTAAAATCCATACACATCAAGTAGAAACCATAAGATATATATATAAATCCAAGATAAAAACAATTATTACAAGCAAATCCCCAAAAAAATACAAAACACTAGGTCTAAGAAGCAAACTTAGGGGCTACTCTAGCCTCAAGTAGATGTCTAGCCACTCATTGAAGTAAACTTAGGGGCTACTCTAGCCTCAAGTAGATGTCTAGCCACTCATTGAAGTAGTCATCCAACCCTCAAGGGCTATCTCCATGGTAGGAATGACCTCCTTCTTGATAGAAACCCTAGAAGAATGGAAGAACTCCCACAGATGTGTAAAAGCTCTCTAGTCTCTAGCCTCCTCTCCAAGATATGAGATATGATATGTGTATTAAAGATATGTTCAATCTTTAATAATGAATGTTAAAATGGCTCCAAATCCTTATATAGGAGGCTCAAGTGTCACACTCAATGGTCTGGATTCGTGCACTAGGGTCCTTGCATTGATTGCACCATGAACCAACTTTTAATGAGTTGGAATTTGTTTTATTTCGGACTTGAGGAGGTTCGATCGATCGAACTGTGTTGAGATCGATCGAACTAATGTGAGATCCATCGAATGCTGCAGAGATCGATCATCCTTGGCGGCGCCATTTTGAATAAAGACAAATCTCTGAGATATTTTGGGAAAGAGACAAGAGTGGTAGGTGTGGATAAGATCGAATAATTTCGATTGATTTGAGAAATGTTAGATCGATTGAAGATGGTGAGATTTTTTGGATAAGGACAATTGCTTGGATCCATCTTGATATATCTAGATCGATGTTGCTCTGATCGATCGAAGGAATGATGAGATCGATTGAACTTGCTACTTTTCCTCCATTTTGCTTCCACTTTGCTCCTTTCTTCCATTCAGCTTGAGATTGCTTCTTTAAAGCTCTTATTTGACTGAATTAACTTATTTTTGTGATAAGTACCTAAAAAGGGCAATAATATGAAATTAATCTAAGACAGGGAAATAAGATAGATAAAGGTCCTAGAATACCTAAGCTTAAGGGGTTTAATTATGCACTTTTCAACGCTCATCAATGAGTCAAGAGAGAAGTGAACGTACTCATAGCGCTCGGGCATCCGATTCTAAATTGAGGATGCTGGAAGTTAGTGCAAGTACTCCAAGTCATAACGAAGGCCCTATAATTCTCCCCTTGGATATTGTGGAGAGGAAGTCACTCTCCGCTACACAATGAATAAAGAAAAATCGGGTTCCCTCTGATGTTACTTTGGAGGAGTACCCCCATGACTTAAATTTTAGCATTGGTGAGGGTTTAAAAGAGGGCGAGTTGTTTTTATCTGCAGGGCATTTATCTAACTTTAGATTTTCGCTAAATCCCTTTTATCTTCGGGTTCTATTTGTATTGAACTTAGCCCCTCTTCAGGTTAACCCTAATTTTTTCTGCATCATTTCTTACCTTCTAGCTTTAAATAGGGTTCGAGGGCTGACTTTGAATTTTGTTGATCTCCTCTTCTGCTATACATTAAATAGGATAAAGAATAAGTAGGGTAGGTATCACTTCCAATTTAGGACAGGTAGATATCTTTTTTCTGGTCTTAATACCTCTGATAAAGAATGGAATGACATGATTGTTAAGGTAGGAGGGGCTCGACGCTCCTCTTTTGCTCAGGATTTTCCTATTCAGATGAGTTTAATTTCATACTCCCTTTATCCCTACATTCGATGATTTGGGCGAGTCTTCTTGCTTTGTTTGTATAGTTAAGCATTTCTGTTATATTTTCAAAATCTTGGGTCACAAAACTAATTTTTTTCCTTCTAAATTTGTAGACATCCAGTTTAAGTACTTGTAGTTGAACGTTTGGAAAACATCCCTTCTACTCAGGTCCTCCTCTCTTCTTCTCTTCTTCAGGCGATCTCCAGGGATCTTCCCCTGATTGTTCAAAATCTTGAGGAGCCTATCAACCTTAACGCTTCCAAAACTGAAGCTTGTTCTGTTTACCCTGCTCATCTTTCACTTTTTGAATCAGCCATAAACTTCACCCCCCAGGGCTCGTATAACCAAAAAGGAAAGGGACGAGACTACTAAACTGCTAAAGAAGAGGAAGAATGTTCTCGCTGAGGTGAACAAGACCCCTACTCCTTAAAAATAGAAGGGAGTCTCTTCTGAGCTGGCCCTTAAACGCCCTTCGGTGAAGGATGCTTCTGCTTCGAAGCATCTTAAGCTTATGGCTGGGGCTTTCAAGGGCAAAGGTGCCCTAGTTGTTGCTG